CATGCTATAACTTTTAAATTAGTAAGCGAATGTTAACGAAATTTGGCAGATTATTGGTAAACATTACAATGCTTTCATACACAAAACATAATTTTTTTTTCTTAAGCCTTAAAGTTTGTAAAGCAATGTTGTTTTCATGCCTTTTTTCTTCTTCTCGCATGTTGTCTATCACACAAAGTAAAAATACTTTTATGGATCAGAAAAGTTTCAAATTTCACATGCAAAATCTTTGTAATGTCCAAATAATTATCAAACATTTCTTAAGAAAAAAGTATATATTTTATCTGTTATTTTCAGTAATTAATCTCTGTATGGGTTTGGTAGGTTTGACATATCTTGTAACTACCATAAAAGAATTAGGAAATAAATATAAATTATGCCTTTTTCATTCTGTAATGAACACAAATTATAACACAAAAAACATAAATGTTTAGACTAAATAGCTTAAATCTAATAACAATATACATTTATATATAATTATTATTTTTATTATATTGACCTTACAGCCATGCCTGGCTGACAATACAGAAGTTACAATGAAGTGGTTCACGTGCACTCATGTTACCATATCAAATAACATAAAACTGACCTTTGTGCTGTACAAAATAACTTGTCTTGGCTGTGTTTTAGTAGACTAGTATTTTGTAAAATACAGTCACATTTCAATTATTATACATTATATAGGCTATTGCTACTTTGAAATAACTTCTTAAACTTATTTTTCTTAAAACATAGAACAGTAAATAAAGAAGTAAAGGAAACAATTATCTCTGGTGTGGGTTTATAGTGACAGTCTTAAAAGACTAAATGTTTCCATTTGTTCTGCGGTGTTATGATTATGTTCATTGTGTATGATGGTAAACAATAAATCACATATGAAATAGCACAAAAATATAAAGTCCAGTGTCTCTTAGATGTACATGTATATCAATCACCTATATTAACACTAGACATGAAAGCCAAAGCACAAAATTCTCTACACTTATATTTGTGGAGAATGATAATACATCATTTCTAGAACTGCCTAATGTACCATAATGCATAACTTACTACAAATATATACACCTCATGTAATTAGTTTATTAATGCTTTTATAAAGATCTCATTTAAAAACATATAAGTAAATAAGAAATTAAATTTTGATTTTTGTTTCAACCATTGAATATTAAACATCCAGAGTATATACAACTTACAAGAGACTAAGTGCAATTTTTACTCCGAGTGCGAAGAACCTAAACCTTTATAAATAAAGAAATGCCACTCTTGTGAAGTTGGATTCATAAAAAAAAAATAATTTCGTTTTCCTACCAAAGTAATGGTAAACAAAACTTTCTTGCATTATTTGTAGCCTTTTTACTCAAACTCAAAGACTTTCCCTTGTGAAATTCATCTTTAAAATAAGTTTACTTGTAAGTTGTAGTTGTACCTCAGACATCAAGACACTAACTTATGTTCTACTAACAGTAACACTGAAAAAAACTAACAATGAAATAACGTTATTGGCAGTTTTATTTGAATGAAAAAAAAAAGCAAAAAACAACAATATTCTATTTCTATTATCAACGAAGATGACTGATGTAAATGCAAGAAATACACTGGTCATGATTTTTATAACCTTATCATAACATATGTGAAACTGTAAAAATAATAAAATTCATATTTAGCCCTTAAGCTTAAATTTACTTGACTAAGCTCTTAAAAACTGAATTATACCACCTAGATAATAATCGGGTTTCATTTTCACCTACTTTTATTTACGTTGTCGATATTTATTACTACTATTTACAAAGTAGCTAAGAAGTTATATAGTTGGGCTAAACACTAACAGTAGTAGTGGTACAAGTTGAGCTAAGAAGTTACAAAGTACAAGTTACAACATTGTCAACTACAAGTGCTTATGACCTGTTTTAAAAAGTACTATTTATGACTTACAGTTCTTGCTTGTTTGCGGAGAACATAACAAACGAAGTTCCAAATCTTATATGCCAACATAAGAAACGCACGAAGGCCCATCTGAACTTGCTTCAACATTGATATGAATCTCTTTTCAACCTTTTTCAATGCACAAGTTACACTACATTTTTAAATATGTCGAGAAATTGCCAAAATCCTGTTTGACAACTTAGAACCTCCCCAGCCCCCCTTTCTGTTTTAAAGATTTTATAAGAGAATTAACTTATTACTGTTTAAACTTATTCGATTATATTGCCATCTGTTATAGATATATTTAATCTAAAATGTTTTATTATTATTATTATTCTGGTTAAGTAATTTCTGCCAGACATTTGTTCTTGGAACAAGAATACATCATGAATATAAACCATACTTTTCATACTAAATCATACTTTTCATCTTGAGGAGTTTTACCAGTATTATGTATAATAATATACATATTTATAAATTTATTTCTTCTCAAACTGATATCTAAATGCATAAAGCAAACATAACTTTTTAAAATCTAAATATTTGTAATCATTATTTTGCTGTCAGGATTATTGATGATGAAATAAATAAATTGCAATTAACATTAAATACACCGATTAAAGTATTTGTCAAAATGGATAGAAAAAAGATGTTCCACTATTTGACTTAAATATAAAAATTATGTCTTTAAAACATTATCATATAAGTATATAAGCTTGTGAATTAAATATGCCTTGATTCCGAAATCGGTCATTACTTAATGTTCTAAATATATTGATTTTATATTTTTTAACTTCATTTAAGTTCATAAACACTCTTTAGCAAAGAAGTTAACACATTCTCTATTACTTTTAAAGAAGATTATTCCTGACTTGAAATTGTATCAGACTAAAATAAAATGCCGCTACATCCAAAGTCGAGCAAAAACACGATTTATTGAATTGTGACAACAACAAAAATCCAAAATAAAACTTCCAAACAATTGGAATACAGATTTTGTCACTTAAAAAAAAAAAAGAACGAAACAAAACAAAAGCAATTACGAAAAAAATATTAAATCCGGGCCTGGTCAGAACTTGATAAAAACGTTAATAAACAATACAACATAAATAACAATGCTATTAATGTCAACAAATAAACGAATTGATATAGGAAAAAGAACTAGAAGAAGAAGAAAAAACTAATTCCGCAAAAACACAATATTCCAAAATTAAAACACCTCAGATAATTAACCACTGATGTGACTGTTACCGAAAATGGGTCATTTCCTGATGGAGCAGATGAACCCCACATGAAGCAGAAGCCAATGAGATGGAGACCAGTATGGAAGAAGATATGTCCCATAAAATTAAGATACTTTGTTGAATTTTAATTTTGTGTTGTAAATTCTGTACATTTAATCAAGTTATTGTTAATTATCTATTGGTTTAATGTAAGTGGCTATTGTTCGGGACGAATAATACTAAGGAAGGGGCAGTGTTACGACAGTGGAAGTCACGTGATGCTGGAAGCATGGGCGCTGGAGTTGCTAGGAGGATCATGACTGTTCTTGGCAACTTTAGTCTTTCTAGGCACCCTCTATTTTAGTTTATAAGTCCGGCAAATAAAGCGAAGATATAATTGCAGATAGACAGATATAGAGATAGATAATTGAATCAAGCGAGCTGTAGGCACAGTAAGTAAAGTGCGTGAA